CCTGTGGTCCCAGCTACTTGGGAGGCTGAGGCAGGAGACTCGCTTGAGCCCAGGAGTTGGAGGTTGCTGTGAGCTGTGAAGCCACAGCACTCTACCCAGGGGGATAGCTTGAGGCTCGGTCTCAAAAAAAAAAATAAGAGAGACAACACAGGTAGAGCAGGCATGGTGGTAAACGCCTGTACTTTCTGCTATTCAGGAGGCTCAGGAAGAGGTCTTCTTGAGTCCAGGAAGTTGAGGCCAGCCTAGTAACATAGAAAGCCTCTATCTCAAAAAACAAAACAAAACAAACAAACAAAAAAGACAACACAGGTTTATAATAACAAATTAAGACTGGGGCGACACCTGTGGCTCAGTGAGTAAGGCACTGGCCCCATATACCAAGGGTGGTGGGTTCAAACCCAGCCCCAGCCAAACTGCAACCAAAAAATAGCTGGGCGTTATAGTAGGCGCCTGTAGTCCCAGCTACTCGGGAGGCTGAGGCAAGAGAACTGCCTAAGCCCAGGAGATGGAGGTAGCTGTGAGCTGTGATGCCATGACACTCTAACGAGGGTTAATAAGTGAAACTCTATTTCAAAAAAAAAATAAAGTAAGACTGTTCAGTTTACTAGAGCCAGAAGAAAATGTACATGTTTCAGTCTCCATGTGGTATGGTAGATTAGTAACTGGACTATCTGCTAGAGACCTATATTAAAATTCTTTGTTTAGTATTTGAATTTGAAGGTCTTGTTCCAAATTACTGGTACATACAATGCAAAGGGATGATAAAAATATGAGAATGCAAAGTCTTCTTGAAGTACACACTAATGCACTTTCCAATAACCTCAAATTTCAGTGACAGCAACAAGCCCTCAACCCTCTACCTCGGAAGCCGTCAGGGGAAAATACTTCTTATCTATGTGGTCTTCTTCCTCTTCATCTGGTGGTGGTTTTGCTGGAGGTGGTGGACGTTCCCGCTGCAGAAGAGAAAAAAATAAATATTCTGCCATCTCTTTTTTCAAGCATCTAGCTTTTTGGTTTACCCTTAGCTCTTGGAAATAAAAAAAGAACGACGTAAAGAACTCCCCTGAGATGCTGAAGTCAAGGTTTAGTCTCTGAACGATAGAAAACTCTGCATACATACACAATTCAATTAGTATGCTTATGGTTTTTGATGTATACAGCAGAGATCATAAACACCTCTTTCATGTATATCCTAGACCACAGTGAGAAATGCTAGCAATGAAACCGCATGACTGCCATATTAGAAAATTTCCTTCACAAATAAAACATTAGTATAGGAAAATAAGTGGCTCGATATTCACTCTACTCTAAAAAGAGGAAATATGAGATAAAAAGAACCTGCGAAACAGTTCTAACAAACCAAAGGTACTGAGGAAATAGGAAAGTAACCAAGGACAAAAATATCTATTCCTAGTCAAACTTCAATCCTCTGATACAGGTTATCCCCATTTATTAGCAAATAGTTCAAAACTAATCCCATATCCTTGGTTGCCTCTTTCAGTAATAAGCATTATATGTTAGAGAATCCTATCTCACCAAAGCCCATTTTAAAAAGGAATATTTCAGTTGTCTATTCTAGACACTAGCAAGCTTTTTCTTAAAAGGCCATAGAGTATAAAAAATAATTTAGGCAGCTCGGCGCCTGTGGCTCAAGCGGCTAAGGCGCCAGCCACATACACCTAAGGTGGCGGGTTCGAATCCCCAGCCCGGGCCCGCCAAACAACAATGATGGCTGCAACCAAAAAATGGCTGGCCATTGTGGCAGGTGCCTGTAGTCCCAGCTAACTTGGGAGGCTGAGGCAGGAGACTGGCTTGAGCCCAGGAGTTGGAGGTTGCTATGAGCTGTGATGCCATGGCACTCTACCCAGGGGGATAACTTGAGGCTCTGTCGCAAAAAAAAAAAAAAAAAAATTAGGCTTTGTAGTCAACTCTTCTATGGTAGAACAAAAGTAGCCAAAGGTAATGTATAAATGAATGAATGTGACTATGTTCCAAAAAACCCTATTTATAAAAATAGCTCCTGGGCTATAGTCTGTCAACCCCTGCCTTAGAACGAGAAACCCACTGAAAAGGAGACACGGACTAGTTAGATAATAGGTAAACAATTCCAGGAATACACAGAATGACCTTGGAGAAGAAAACGTGCTAAAAGCTGAAGAGAGACTTGCCATTACACCTGAAATACCTTCGGCATCATGTATATATACCCTGAAGCCCTGGTCATGCTTGATAATCAGTGCTCCTACTGAAGGGAGTAGGGAAACAGAAACAGGATTTGATCTGCAGGCTCATTCCCTGGCTTGTAGGTGACTTTACCATACTGCTAAAAAGGGGGTACTTCAGAAAGCCAGGACAGAGGTAAATGTTGAGTTATGAAAGAACCCAGACAAATCTACAAAGAAAAAGATGTTTCAGGAGCCACCAATGTCAGCATTTTAGCATCTTCAGCAAGATCTCTCTCTTAAAATATGCTTCACTGTTCAGTATTCTATCTTGATAAATTGGTCATTCCTATCGTTCCCAGAACCAGATGGATGGCCAATGACAATGGATTCAACACAAGTCTGTGAGTTCAAACCGAACAAAACTATTCCACTAAGTTCTACTTTCCCCATCCTTCTTTGCTCTGGAAGCATAAGAACCTGGTCCCAGGGTTACCTTGTAAGAAAGGGAACAGCAAAAGGAGCAGAGTCATATCCCTCACCAGTAAGCCAACCTTGGGACACAGTAGCTGAGGAAAACCAAAATGAAATACAAAAATAAAAAGGACCCATTCTAGTAGCTTTCCCAAAGCTAGAAGTCCTAGAAAAAACAATATGAAAGCTCTTTATGGAAGAAGGGATCACCAGGGACACTGGCAAAAAACAGAAGTACCAATAAGCCTCCTCATTTCTAGCTATGAAAACTTTACATGAGGGGCCTGGAAATACAGAGCTGATTCAGAAACACCATTTATTATATTTACTAAGAGGTAGAACACAGTTAATTACCAAGGACTAGGAAGACAGTATGACTGCAATGTATGAAAGTAAAAATGGCAAAGCATGCACCCCAAGATGCATCAGCTTCTATTTAGTGGGACTGTAGGAGGCTGATTCCTAGAGTGAGAAGAACAAAGTGAGACTTGTGTAAATCTGCGTTACTCTCAGCTTTCTTCAGTAACTGTGTGCTTTTTGCAAAGGCTCCAGCTCCCCCTAATGGACACCACCTGTAAATACCCATTAGAGCAAAGCCTCTACAGCTAAATTTGCTTAAATCTAGTAATGAAAGAAGTGACAACAACTAACTCTGTCTACAGAACCATTATGCCAGTGGTGCCTGGCATATGTACTTGCTTTCAGTATTCACGAGAACTTTTGTCATAGTGCTTAATACCCACTCTAGTGGGCTACTGGTGGACTGTAGGCCTTTCCAAGATCTATACTGTTGGGACAATTTTCAGGCAGAACAGGGCAGGGTAAGGAGCCTCACAAGAAAGAATACTCTAAGAATCCTCAGGCCACTCCCAGGGCATACCTAAAAAGACCAAGAATTACCTACCACCCAACAGATCATCAAAATGATTACACACCAGATTCAGACAAAAGGGAAAGAGGCCAGCTTCTCTAGGAATATGAAAATATTTTCACCTGAAAGTATGTCCCAAGGTGGGATTAGCACTGAGATTTTGTCAGAGCAATGGCCAGTTTAGACAACTGACAGTGCATAAAACCTCACATGATCATGTCTGGCACTGCCGGAAGGAACGTCAGTGGGATGCAGGACTAGACTCACAGCATAACCCTGGGAGAGAAGGCAGGGAGGAGTCTTGAGGACAGCCTGTAGACTGGAAATAAAAGCGACTACAGATGGTCCCAACTTATAAAGATTTGCCTTATGATTTTTTCAAATTTACAGTGGTGTAAAGTGATATACATTCAACAGAAAACATACTACTAGTGCCCACACAACCATTCTGTTTTTTACTTTCAGTACAGTATTCAATAAAACATGTGAGACAATAAATACTTTATAATAAAATAGGCTTTGTGTCAGATAATTTTGCCTAACTGTAGGCTAATGTTAAACGTTCTGAGCACATTTAAGGAAGGCTAGGCTAAAGTTATGATGTTTAGTAGGTAAGGTATATTAAATGCATTTTTACTAGGATATTTTCCACTTAATGATGGGTTTACTTGGATGTAACTTCATCATAAGTCAAGATGCATCTGTACTACAGAAAGATATAGTGGGAAGGTGTATTTTTTTTTTTTTTTTGAGACAGAGTCTCATTTTGGTAGAGTACCATGGTGTCATAGCTCACAGTAGTATCAAACTCCTAGGCTTAAGCAATTCTCTTGCCTCAGCCTCCTGAGTAGCTGGGACTATAGGTGCTGGCCACAATGCCCGGCTGTTTTTAGAGATTGGGTCTCACTCTGCCTCAGGCTGGTCTCAAACCTGTGAGCTCAGGCAATCCACCCGCCTAGGCCTCCCAAGTGCTGAGATTATAGGCGTGAGCCACTGTGCCTGGCCTGGCAGGTGTACTTTAAGAAGGAAAAATTCAGAATTGTTCTCATCCTATTATTTTAATGGCCAGAGATGTTATAAACGGATAAAATATGAACACTGGACACTTAATACAATATCTGATTAAGCCTTGCTACAACTCTGCTGAATAAAAAACCCACCCAAATCCAAATGAAGAATTCCTTGAGAGCAAATGGAAGGTGAGTATATACTTGGAGCAGATAGGAAATCATTTTAGTGAGCATCTTCTTTCCAGAATGAAAAAAAGATGATACATTGGGTGGTGCCTGTGGCTCAAAGGAGTAAGGCACTGGCCCCATATGCCAGAGGTGACGGGTTCAAACCCAGCCCCGGCCAAAAACTGCAAAAAAAAAAAAAAAAAAAAGACGATACATAGCAAAGAGCTTTTGCTCAAAGGCAAAAGCAGCACCTAGGCTGAACAGAAATAAAATGCTTTAACTTGCTCTAAGGCCAACGCAGTAATGGAAAAATGCAAACTGAGTATACCAAACTGGGAAAACTAAAGCTCTACCTCAGTGTGATCTGTGTAGTTTTACCACACTAAGCAAGAGAGAGACACTGCCGAGCCCTGTGAGGTAGAGAAGAAGCTAGCCCCAGGCTTTGACATAGGAGCAGCACCAGAGTCGCACTGCTCTCCCCAGTGCTCCCCATAGCACAGACAACAGCCAGCACAGCCTCCAGAAGGTTCAGGGCTGAGGCCACATACAGGCCTCACTCCAGCAGTTTTCACTCCTGCCGCCTCAGCCTCTTTGTTCACAGAGTCTCGGTCAGATGATCGCCCGCTGGCCAAGCTGTCCAAGGAATGGCAGGAGACAGCGTTGTACAGCACCTCATAGGGACCCTCTTCTTCAGTATTTGTGTCAAAATCAATAATCCGTTCAGTCACTGCTTTCTCCAGATCACCTGAAGGGGAGGTTGGAAGGGAAGAGAGTAAATAAAAGGGGAGCACATCTCGCGTTTCAATCACTGCAGCAACCCAAAGCCTCTTCAGTCATCTGAACTCTAACACTAACCCAGAGCAAGAAAATGATTATTTTCCTCTCCTGAGAGTTTCAGCTATTCTTTTTTTTTTTTTGAGATAGAGCCTCAAGCTGTCCCCCTGGGTAGAGTGCCGTGGCATTATAGCTCACAGCAACCTCCAACTCCTGGGCTCAAGTGAGTCTCCTGCCTCCGCCTCCCAAGTAGCTGGGACCACAGGCGCCTGCCACAACGCCCAGCTATTTTTTGGTTGCAGCCGTCATTGTTGTTTTGGCGGGTCCGGGCTGGGGATTCGAACCGGCCACCTTAGGTGTATATGGCTGGCGCCTTAGCCCGTTGAGCTATAGGCGCCGAGCCTTCAGCTATTCTTTATACCTTGAGATCTTAAGTCCTCACAACCCCTAGATTATTTAGATTAAGAGTTTTCTAGTCTGCCTAAGAATGTTCAACTGTTTTCAAGCTAGGCTCCCCTTCATAGGCAGAAAGAGTTATCTTACCCTGAGACTTCTGTGATACGGAGTCCATACTGGTGATGAGAGATGACTGGGGTATGGAAGTTTTATCCACCTCTTTTGTACTTCTTTTCCCAGTCATATGATCTACATGGAAAGATTTTTTAAAAAGCAGTACCAATACAAAAGCCTAGCTTCAGTTAGTGTCCCCTGGTCACCCAGACAGAGAGATGGACTGATACCTTCAATTAGTGCTGCTATCTGCTGGCTCTTTTGAGAAGGCAGCTCCCGGACAGTGTCTAAAGCAGTCAGTCCACGATTATCTTTTATGTTGACATCAATTCCTAGAAAAGCACAGCAGGTGGACCAGGGGAGTAAGCATTTTCAAGCTAGCCACAAAGAAGGTCAAATTCAAGGATATCCAAGGCTGCCAGCAGCATGACCAACATTTTCCATCCAAAGCCATTTAATCCAGCTATTTAAGAACTGACACATTTGTAATCAACCAGTGGAGACAGACACACATACACTGGGTTCAAATGCAGCCAGCAAAAATCCTCCTCAGGGGAGGTCAGGGAGAAAACAATCCCAACCCTGGCATGCTGTGTAGACAAGAGTGCTGCCAACCTCTCACCTGCAGCCAGCAGGATTTGCACCACATCGGTCTTGCCAAACAAAGCAGCTTCATGCAAAGCACTGCCCATCTCCGTCTGGAAAGCAAATGAGAGCCCAGAGCAGGATGTCATCAGACCAATTTGGCGTGGCTTCACATGACAAACAGGACAGAGACAAGGGACACACGAAAAATAAACCACAGAAAGCCCTCTATCATTATCTTTCCAAATTTTCTTGTACGGATTCTAAAACTACAATTATGGCCCACACATCAAGGCTGTTTGTATGCCACCAGTAGGCCGCAAATGAGTAACTACACAGTTATTCTTGGAGCTACCTATTGGTCAAACTCAAAACCCTACCTTCCTGGACAGAGTAAGAAATGGGAAGTACTACAAGGGAAGCACCAGGGAAGAAAAATGGCTTCATATTAAATGTTCTTTGGCCAAGGCAAGGCCTAAGGAATCATCCATCTGAATGAGGAAGGCTAACAATGAAGGGAAGTGCTAATCTCCTGTTGGCAACATCAGGTTGATAAGAGGCTGGAGGAGTTAAATGGTGGCAATGGGAACACATGTATAGGAAGATAATGAAACTTTTCTAATTTTGAGGTAGTCTACAAGCACATCTTTTCAGGGTATTATACCCTGAAAAGAAAAAAAAAAAGTAATAGACTCACGTGAGGAGTTCATTTGTCCCTCTAAGTTTCACATTAAAACAAGTCAACAAATGGAGGCAGGTGAAACATAATATGAAACGTGCTAAATAAGAACACAGCCCAGCAGCATGACACTTGTCTTTTCTAAAACGAGTAAGTCCCTTGAAGCCTGGGAGGAGTATGTGGTCCCCCTCCTGCTACCTGGTAGTTGCTGTCCATGCCAGCATCAAGGAGGACCTGGACCACGGCTTTGTGTCCGTTCCTTGCTGCCAAGTGCAGGGGGGTGTGCTTCTTAGTGTTGCAGCTCAAAAGGTTGGGGTGTGCGTTGAGAAGCATCTTCACCACTTCCAGTCGCCCATAAAGCGCTGCCAGGTCCAGAGGCGTCTCGAATTTGTTGTTGCGCATGGTAGGGTCAGTTAGCTCCTCTAAGAGCACCTTCACCACCTCTGTGTGGCCATACTGTGCTGCACAATGCAGGGCCGTCTCATTGTCATTGTTCTAAAGGGTTAACAAGTAGATCAGGTCAGAAAGATAACTGACTGACTGGCACCTGACTTGGATGATCACAATAAAACCACTGAAATTCAAATGAAAAAATAGCAGCAATACTTGGAAGAGTCAGGATCAAGGCATACTCCCCTGCACAGCAGCCTGACTACTCTAATCAGCCAAATGTTCCCCCAGTAATTCCCCTATGTCCCACCAAGGATTACAAGGAGAGCAAAGCCTGGCACAGATGAACACCAATAATATCACTGCCAGATCAGGCACAGTGGCTCACAACTATAATCCTAGCACTCTGGGAGGCCAAGGTGGGTGAATTGCTTGAGCTCAGGAATTAGAGACCAGCCTGAGGAAAAGCAAGACCCTATCTTTACTAACAACAGAAAAACTAGCCAGGCTTTGTATGCCTGTAGTCCCAGCTATTTGGGAGGCTAAGGCAAGAGGATCATTTGAGCTCAAGAGTTTAAAGTTGCTGTGAGCTATGATGCCACAGCACTCTACCAAGGGAGACAAAGTAAGACTCTATCTTAAAAAATATATATATATATGTGTGTGTGTGTGTGTGTGTGTGTGTATGTGTGTATCACTGCTGCTATTTCATTTTAAACTTCAACTGGTTTTTCAACAATTTATACTTATTCAATTCTGTGGTTCTCATTCTGGATTTGTCAACCATCCACTGCCTCATACATAAGTTTTTTATTAAAAAGTTTGTCATCTGTGTAGTTTCTTGCATGCAAATCCATCAGCCATCAGTAGCAGCAGAACAGAGCATCAAAAAAACACTCTCAAGTATCAGCCAAACAGCCGTTTCTGGGGAGAGATGCACTTGGGCCCAGCCACAGGGGCACATGGGTCCCTGGACTGCACTGTGCTGACCCCAGGAGCCTGTACCAATCAGGGTGTGCAGTGTCTACTTCATTAAAACAGCAGCCAGCTTGCGGAAGTTTCTCATGTAAGAAAGATACAATCAGATACTGGAATGTTTCGAATGAGAGGTGCAAAATATTCAAATGTAACACTATCTTAAATTCAAAATCATAATCCATAGTCCTGTAATGCCAATTTTGTTTCAAACTAAAGACAGAATTTGGGATAAAATGAGAGAACTTTGGGCTTTATCAATCATTAGAAGCAAAATGTTAGTCATTCCAATTGTGCTCTTTCTTTTACTACTATTGACAATGTATAATTAGAGCAGAAAAAAATTATTTTCACAACCTCTCCTTTCTGAGAAGCACTAATGAAAGTAATTCTCCCACAAGATTTTGAGATTCCTGAATTTATCCAGGAGTCTTTTGTTACAATACTTTTGGGAAACAAAGTTTAAGAGAAGGTTTGTCCATCAAGTCAATATTGTGCACCTTTCAGTGATCAGAAGATACAAGTTAGATGTTTCTACAATTGCTTTAATTCTATTAATAACATTAAAAGTAATGGATTAGGAGTTACCCAAACATGCATGCAATTCCATCTGCTTTTGATCTGGCATTTGACTGCATCATTTTTTCCAGCTACACCAAGTGTACCAGAAAGATCCAGAGCTGTTGGGAGGAAGGCTCCAAAAGGCCAGAATGGGGGCAAAAAATTTTTTTAATTGAAATAAGGACAGAAGGAGGTGGCAGCAGGAGCCCCATGCAAAGATAAACACACAGAGATAAATAGAAGATGCAGAGGAAGCTGCTCTGAGCTCAAACACAGCTCAAGAAGATCAGCTGCCAAGAAAGTATAGACTGCCTTCATTGGCCACAGAACCCAACCTGTCAGCAGCTGCCTCCTGTGATACAACTGGACCCCCCAAAGCAAGTTCCATATCAACCTAAAGTCTGGAGGAAGGGCAAACACTGAGCAGAAAGCAAATCCTTGAGGTTCCCTGTGTCAAACAAACCTTATAGGACAATCATTTAGAATGTCCATTTCCTATTAAACCATGGCATGAGTTCCCTAAGTAAACTTAGAACTGTCACTTCACTTTCTCATGATGAAAGGACCGTTACATCAACAAAAGCGCACAGGATCTTTCTGTAAAGTGAGTCAGGGGCTGGGTGGCAACCAGAACAAGTTTTAAGAGGATTCTCCAGATTTCACATCTCAAGATTAGAGTGATAGCAAGAGTCAAGAAAGTCAGTTTAGTCTTATTAAAACTCCAACCCAGAAAACACTTCATTTACTCTAAAGCAAATACTACAGTCTCTTTTATATTCAAGTTATCTCCCAAAAACCAGAATAATTTGCCCTTGATTTTTTTTTGAGACAGAGCCTCAAGCTGTCGCCCTAGGTAGAGTGCCGAGGCATCACAGCTCACAGCAACCTCCAACTCCTAGGCTCAAGCGATTCTCCTGTCTTGGTCTCCCAAGTAGCTGGGACCACAGGTGCCCATGGTAACGCCCAGCTATTATTTGGTTGCAGCCATCATTGTTTCTGGCGGGTGTGGGCTGGACTCGAACCCGCCAGCTCGGTTGCATGTGGCTGGCACTTTAGCCACTTGAGCCACAGGCGCCTAGCCTTGCCCTTGATTTTATAAAAAGTATTCCATTATGTAAAACTCTAAATCAGGCGTCCTGAAACTATGGTCTGTGGGCCACATGCAGCCCGCCGAGGACATTTATCCAGCCCGCCGAGGACATTTATCCAGCCCGCCGGGTGTTTTTGCCACCACTGCCTGTCCTGCTTAGCAGCCGACCATCCCGGGGCCTGCAGTCCGGTCCTCCAACGGTCTGAGGGACAGTGAACTGGTCCCCTATTTAAAAAGTTTGAGGACCCCTGCAACCATCTAGTTAGCAAAAACAAAAGAGGCCAGACATGGTAGCTCACACCCATAATCCCAGTACTTTGGGAGGCCAAGGCAGGAGGATTGATTGAGGCCAGGATAACATAGCAAGACTTTGTCTCTACAAAAAAGAATAAACAAGCAAAAAGAAATGGAGACTATAAGTGTGCACCCACTTATAGTAGAAAGCAGCAGCTGCCACAGAGCTAACCTGGTTAAGGCAAGGTCTTGACTACTATTGGCAAATTTCCTGCCTCATGTTATAAATGGTCTAACCACATCTATAAAGTTATGCTCATATTCACAGTGTAGGGAGCATGTTACTTAGGTTTTAGTCTTGCCATAGTCTTGTAACAATAATACTCATTTAATGTCTGTGATGACCACATCTCTCTACCACTGAACATAGGCCAAAACAACAAGTTCTTATTACTATTTCTCCTTTGAGCCTGATAACTATCAGGGCAGAAATTATCAGTGGTTCATTTGGGAATTACATAGGAGTTGGGGCTTAAAAGTAACTATTAGGAGGTCTAACCCCAGATTTGCCTCAGAGTGTAAGGCCCACCCAGAAAACTATTATTAAATGTTGATTTATGGACCCACAAGAAAGAGAAGTACTCTAAGGAGAAGCATAGGCTGCTTATCATTTGGAATCCTTTCCTTTCACACCTTCCAAATCATATTACAGGTGCTCATAAGACCTTAAGAGTTCTCAGAATCATATTATTATAAGTCTGAGGAAGGAGACTGAGATCAAATATCCAGTTTCTCCCCTAAAGTCTTTGAACAAACTCACCATTCCTTTCCATCCTGCAATCCACTTATATTTTTCCTTGCTCTAGTTACTACTTTTAAGTAGAGATCCCTACACATACCCCCTGAAGTCTGAAGACTCCATTCAATGTATAAACCCATTATATGCATAAAATACAAGCAGTGGAAAACTGTACAGAAACATCTGCATAGCTTTTCTCTTTTTAGAACTACTTTAGGACCATCTCCTCCTCGTACTTAGATTATAGCACAACTTGTATTCATTGTAGACAGATGCCTAAGTTAGAGACCTAGTCTACAACTCTCTGTAGCAACCAAGGTGTATGTTCTACATATTGAAAAGAAAGGAAAAACTGGGTCTATGGAGATTGAAATAACATAGGAGAAATATGAGAAATGAGTCCACCATGTGGAAGAAGAGTTAGACTTACTCTGTAATGTTCTGGAATGCAGAACTCTGACCAAAACATTCCAGGTTTAGGACGAAAGATGTCAACCAAACTTAAAAAACTGAAAATTGGTGGAATCCAAAAATAGGCTACCAAGTGGTAGTGAATTTTGTTTGGAAATTTGGGAAAAACAAATGAATAAAATAAGGAATAAATGGCCTCACTTTCAGGCAACAGAGGGGAAAAGCTTCCTGCTTTGGGTGGAAAGTTGGCCTAGAGCAGTGGTTCTCAAGCTTAATTATTTCATCATCAAGAAGGAGATAAACTGACATCATGTGTTGTACTATGAGCATGACAAAGGACATAACATCACTTCTGTGGCATTTCTGGCAGAAATGTATAACCTGAGCAAATGTCAGACAAAACTAAACTAAAGGACAGTTTACACAACAACTGGCCTATGCTCTTAAAATATCAATGTCATGAAAGACTAAGAAAGGCTGAGGGAACAATTCCACATTATGTATGTTCCTGGATTGGATCTTGGACCAGAAAAAAAAAATGCTCTAAAAGATATTGAAGAGGGACATAATTGAGACAATTGGTAAAATTTAAATGTGGATTCTATGTAGTACATTAGATAACAATAGGGCATCAATGTTGAATTTTCTGGACAGGCCCAGTAGCTCATGCCTATAATCCTAGCAATCTGGGAGGCCAAGTGGGAAGGATCACTGGAACTCAGGAGTTTGAGATCAGCCTGAACAAAAGTAAGACTTCTAACTCCACTAAAACTAGAAAAAATTAGCAGGGTAGGTGGCTCACATCTCTCTAAGTCCCAGCTACTTAGAAGGCCAAGGCAGGAAGATGGCTTGAGTTCAGGAGTTTGAAGCTGCAGTGAGCTATGACGATGCTACTACACTCTAGGCCAGGTGAAAGAGCAAGGCAATGTCTCAAAAACAAACAAACAAAAAAAACCCTGCTAGGTGTGGTAGCTCACAGCTTTCATTCTAGCACTCTGGGAGGCTGAGGCCAGTGGATTGCTTGAGCTCAGAAGT